TTATTTGTATATCTATCTATTCTATCGTGCAGCGAGTCGGTTCCGTTGTGTTTCGTGCAGGAGTTGGCGGTCATCTCGAGCCAAGCTCATGAGTAAGGAAACGAGGCCAAGCCTCGGCAGCGGCGATTTGACATTGATCTTCATCACCGGCGATTCACCATCTTGCTGCTCGGATGGCTCGCACCAAGAACGTTGGTGGTGGCCTGTGATGATGATCGGAGGCCCCACCTCGCCACCAAACCGATCGAAGGCAAGGCAACCAAGCGGTGACATCCAAGAAGCGGAAGTACCCCGACGCAGAGAGAATGAGAGCAAAGAATTTGCTGCGGAGAGGGCAGCAGAGCGTCTTAGAGAGGAGGTGCCCAGCAATGAGAGTTGTCATTGCAGATCGGCCGTTTTCACCAAAGACTCTCGAGCTGCGATTGAGGAGGTTGAGCGTCGTCACGGTAGTCCAAATTGGACCGCCACGCTTGCGTGATGACGGTCGCCATTGAGGAGGGTCCGTCAAGACAAAGAAGCAGCCCCCACCACCAGCAGAGCCTCACCCCCCCCAGGAGACTCGGGAGAGTCGGGAGACCGAGCCGGCACCTCACCCACGCCGCCTCGAGTCGCACTCAAAGGTTCTTGATTCCACCTAGGCCAGATTACACAACAGCAGGGTTCTCGCCCCGCCTGCACCACGTGGTCCGCCTCCAAAGGGTTCACCTCGACTTGAGGGCCGCCACAGACCAAAGGTGTTCAAGAATCACGGTTTGTTGAGTTTGAGGTTTGGTTTCCTCAGGAGGGATGTGAGAGCAACGTGAGGGTTCTACACGCCACCGCATGAGGATTTCTACAATGCATATCTTAACAAGTGGGGCGTGATTCGATCACAGAGGGTCGGTCGGTTCGAGCTCGGGTCGGATGATGATGGCACCCTGGTTCCATCTTGCTCCACGTGCTTCAAATACCTCGACTCGTCCATTGCAGCCCCGCCGTCCGAACCCTAGGTTTTTTTGGTGTTTGGCGCCAAAGGGGAGAGGGTTTGAGTATGTAGACTTAGGGGAGCGAGTTTTAGGGGAGCTAGTTATCCAAATTAGCCTATTATATACATTTGGACTTTTATTTGTGTGATACACTATTACTTATGCATTCGTGTGTTTACTTTCATGCATACTATTATTTATATGTGATAGTGCTATCTACGTGATTGTGATATTTGACATGTGTGACTTATACTTTGCTTTATCTATATGTCATATCACTTGTGTGATGCTCATTTGATTTTGCTTCCGCGTTATACTTTGAAGCAAATGAGCTTTGTTATTTGTACTCATGCTTAATCCATATTCTTTGAGTACATTGTGTTGGCTTGGGTCATATAAGCTTGACTAACTCTTTTGTTCTTATTGACAAAAGCTTATATGAACCAAGCCCGTCAAAAAAAAACCTCACTCCATAACATACTCGAGGTGGTGTTGTCATCAATCACCAAAAAGGGGGAGATTGAAAGCATCTAGGCCCCTAGTTGGATTTCGGTGATTGATGTCAATACAAGATTACTATGACTAACGTGTGTTTTGCAGAGGCAATTAAGTTAGGTCATGGTAATGGAGATCGATTGGGCAATTGAGGTTGTCATGCCCCTACGATGGAAATCGTTTCGGTTTTCAAAGGATGGACGACAAGGTTAAGGATAACTAGTTCTAAGTGTCAATTGAAGTTGGAGAGACACTTAGAGTAGTTTAGAGACTTTGTTTTTTCCTTTGGCCGTACTACTATGAAGGGGGGGGTATGAACGGGTAGCTTGACCTAGTTAAGTCTAGTGAGTTAGGTGTGGTGCACACTTGTTTAAACTAGCTCTAGGTAGCTCCTATGAATGCCTAAGATCTTTTGGAGCAAAATTCATTCACATATATTCGGAAGTTGGAAGTGAATGGAGGGTCAAACACTTGACCGGACGCCTGCTCTGCGTCTTGACCGGACACTGGGCCGCAGGTCCGGTCGATTCATTTGATCGAGGTGATCAAGTCTGATGTGACCGGACGCCGAAGAAGGTTATGTGACCGGACGCCGAGGACCAGGCCATCCGGTCGACTCTCAATGAGGGTCCAGACTTGGGAAAGAGTGACCGGACGCGTCCGTCCGGTCTTAACCGGACCACGAGGGTTCAGCCATCCGGTCGACTCGATAGGTTCCAGTAAGGGTTTTATGCGACGGACGCGTCCGGTCCAGTGCAGACCGGACCACCGCCAAAGTCCGGTTGACTCTTTAATCTTGGTTCATGGGTTGAACTGACCGGGCGTCCGGTCATCACGATCGGAGCGTCCGGCCGTCCCCATGAAGCTCATAACGGTTCGTTTTTCAGTGGCTTATAAATAGAAGGTCCACTCGTGAGTGGAGGAACTTTACTCATTCCAACAGGTGAGAAACACGTTTGTGAGTGCCAAGAAGAGCAAGGTCCTAGTGAGGTGTTTGTGATTTGAGAATCCAAGAGAGTAGCCTCACTAGCAAATCAAGAGTAGCAAAGTGTGCATCCATCTTCTCATTAGGCTTCATTGGTCAAGTGAGATTTCGTGCTTGTTACTCTTGGTGATCGCCATCACCTAGACGGCTTGGTGGTGATTGGGAGTTTGGTGTTCACCCATGAGCTTGTGGGTGACCCAACTCAAGTTGTGAGCGGTTTTGGGTGATTCGCGCGACGGGTGTCGAAGAATCAACCCAGAGAGCACTTGATCCTTCTTGCGGATCAAGGGGAGCTACACCCTTGCGCTGGTGCTCCAACGAGGACTAGTGGGGAGTGGCGACTCTCCGATACCTCGGCAAAACATCGCCGCGTTCCTTTCTCTCTCTATTTACGTTGAGCACTTACTTTGAGTATTTACTTTGAGCATTTCAATACTTGTCTTACATCCATAGAATTGCTTGCTAGAGTAAGTTTGGAACGTTGGTTGCGAGGTTGTTGTGCATTAGTTTAATATAAACACTTTTTAGGCACAAGGGGTTAATTGGGCTATCCGTAGGATTTGATTATTGCAAGAAAATTTAGAATTAGCCCAATTCACCCCCCCTCTTGGACATCTTGATCCTTTCAGTTAGGTTTGCTGAAGCTGAATAGTAAAATAAGTTATTTACCATGTCTCAGGTGGAGATATATTTGGAAAAAGTGAGGTGAGTATTTGGTAGAGAATTTCTCATACTTCCTCTCTAGAAATGTTGTTTAAAGTGCTGCTATGGAGAGGATCAATTTTTATCTGTTCATATCTCAGGGACCTTCTTGACTTGTCCAAAGACAACCTGCTGATCAAGGAAAGTAAAACCCAAGGAATTTACATTTCTGGAGCAACAGAGGTCAGAATGAAGGACATGGCACCTTCCTTCCATTCTAATTTTCTGTGATATTCAGAAAGAAGTACTTGGCATCAGGACCTCCATGCTTTCACTTTAATGTCTGGTATCTGTTCAATTACCCATGCAGATGTCTATCCTGAACAGTTCAGATGCATTAGAGAACCTTTATGTAAGTCTTCTTGAGCTTTACTTGGAGTGCCTTTCTATAAGTAGATACTAATTTAGCTTTGTTGACCTATTTAAATTACAGCAAGGAATTGCCAACAGTTACACCTGTCATCAATATTCGCATTTCTAAAGTGCATATAATGGAGCAGTTACAGTATGGCCCTATAGGGTTGCGAAGGCGCTGAACTTGATATTTAATACAGTAGAGCTTGTATTGTTCTACACGCCTTTTAACATCAGTACATACTATTCTGTTACAATCCTAATTCATGTTTTTTGTGATTGACAGCTTGTACTTCTTGGAAGTCAGCTTACCAAATGAGATAAGCTTGTAAGCATGACGCTCAAGTACTAGGATGTCATCTGAAGCTGTGAGCTTGTCAGTAGATCCTGATTTATTGTGCTAACTCACCTTTTTCTCTGTTTTTTTATTTGTGTCCGCCAAAACCAAGTTTGCATTATCAAATAGTAACAGTTGCACTAATACAAATGTGCAATTTTCTTATGTGTGGTCTGAGTTTTTCAGCATCATTTAGATGGTTCATTCTTTACTCAGTAGAAATGATTATGCTTTCATTGTTATGCAGTTCGTAATGTCTTCTATCTATACTTGAGTGTGTATTCAACAAATCATCATGAAATACTAATCCTACTTTAGTGACAAGAGAGAGGAGGGGCCATGCCTGATTTTGTGCAAAGTGTTGTGTGTCAGTGTGATCTCCAATAGCAGATTATAGAGCATTACAGAACAAAGGGCATGAAGGCAAAAAATACAAAATTCTGCAGGTTAGGACCTTTTCCCTTGACTGATCTTCGTATCCTTTCTTCTTCTTCATGTTTTGGTGTTTTTTCTGTGCATTTATTTACTAATTTTCATCCTTTTCTCCACTCTCGTGCTCTTTCTGGATCCAGATTTGATCAGCATGCTGGAGGGTGCAGTGGCAGAGTTGTAATTTTCTGTGTATGCATGTACGTGTGTTTATTGGGCCGATAGTTTCATTTTGGCCCAAATGAGCACCAACTTCAGTTAGAGGGTATCAGATCATGTGCCCGTTAATGTTTGGCGGGTTGATTCGCGGACCCGATAAGTGGCTGGGTGATAGAAACGACTACAACAGATTCTAACCAATGGATGTACATCTAAAGGCTGTTAGCCATCGCCTGAAAAGTTGTTATATTTCAGGCACCTGAAATATAGCAACTCCCTTAAATCTATTCGTTTCTGCACAGTTTGTAACAAGAATCATACTTCTTCGTATTACCTCGATAGAGATATAAGAATTATACTGACTATTCTGGCACCAATATAGCTTGAAACGGAAAGGTGACGAGTTTTTTTTTTCCACCACGGTAAAAAACGAATTTCATTACCACACATTTTTCTCTCCTGCCATTTTTGTTTGAAAAGGAAAAATGAACAGAGAACAGTTACAACTTACAACCTACCATTAGACCATGTATATGATGCAATAGTGACAAAAAGATTGTAGATGGCCTCTTAATTATGGAGTAAGTGAAGTCACCTGGATGTACAAACTCTCCAAGTAGGGAAAACATTTCATGAATTCAATAACCACATCCAAACTAAGACGCTCAAATAATGATAAGACCTTCACACTGTGCACCACCATCTTCAAGCTAAAAAAGCCTGATCCTCCCTAGGTAAGGCACAAAGTACTAAGGTTAGAATCAAAGTCAACATAGGGACTTTGTTTGGAGAAAGAGCCTCATGAATATGAAAGTGAGAAAGCACGGTGATACTGATACCTGAATAACTGTGGTGCCAAACTCGAGTTTGGGGCTTTGATCAGATAGTGGCCCCAAAACAAGCAATTTTGGCGCCGAGATCACCGATATGGTGATTCCCAAGTAATCAAAGCAAAGTAACCTTTCTAGACAGGGGGCATCCTCGATGATGACTTGTCGCAGAATCACGCGTCCATGATTAGAGCGCACGCCGATGCTTCGGAGGGTCGGGGACGCAATTTGGACGCGAGATAAGCCAATGCTGCCCTTTAGCAGCAAGCTCTGCAGGACAGGGCAGGCAGATAGCAAGGCACGTAAAGAACTCTCCGAGAATCTGACATCCGCAAGGCTCAACTGCTTGAGAACCGGAAAGTGGAGCCCGCTGGCATTGTATCCATCCGTAAAACCGCAGCCCCGGAAGCTGACAGCGCGAAGCGTTGACGAGAAGCGGTGTACAGATGCAGGCGGCGGCGGCAGCGGCGCTAAATTCGACGAATGAGGACGGCCGTAGTGGAACTCAAGCTCTTGGAGTCTGTCGAGGGCGGGGGACTCGAGCCAGCCGTCCAGGCTTGTGACGGGGAGGCCCTGTAGTAGAGGTAGTGCTCCGGAATGGAGAAGCGGCGGCTGGGACCTTGATGCGCGGAGAGAATGCGCGAGATTACGCTTTCGGTGACGTTGTTGGCGCCGAGGTTGAGAGGAGCGAAGCGCCAGATGTGGTGCCAGCGGGAGGAGAGCACCTGCGTGCGGGCGCCGTCGTTGGTCGGGAGAAGGGTGACGATGTCGCCGAGGATGCCGTCAGGGAGGCGGCTGATGCGGTCTTCATCTTCCTCTTGTTCTTCCTCCAGTCCTCTCCTCCTCTTGGCTCCGGAGACCATCGCCATGGCTGAATGGCGGCGCGGCGGCCGAGCGGGGATTTGGGAGGGGAACCGCCGTGGGCTGCGACTGCGAGCCTGCGACTGGGCTCGGGTGTCAGCAACACCGATGCTGAGCCGACTACAGACGGGGAACAGAAGCTGGCGCCCGAAGAAGACAAGGCCTCGCCACCAGGCTCGCCAAGGCCCAAACGTGTGGCTCGGCCCAACCCGAGGCTGAGCGGCCCTGAGTGGACAGTGAAGTTCAAATCATTTTGGGTCCTTTGGGTGTCAAGCCGAAAATGTGAAAGCTCCGGTCTTAATTAAGAACTCTATAAATGTCGATGAAATGTTTCATGCTTAATTGGAAGCGCCTCAACCTCACTTGAGATTCGAGAACTCTTTGGGTCTAACCTGAGTTCTCTAGAGCTCATTTGAGAACCTTTGAACTCATTTGAAAGTCGATTCGCAAATTTCTGAATTAGGAGAAAATTAAAATTTGGTGGTTATCCACAGATGGTAGCCCCTTGTTGTTTAGGCACTTTAGAACAATGTCCACGCCATAAGGTTTTTCAGGCCACACAGAATGGTGCACTGAAATAATTTTTATTAGAATTGTCGGTGTTTCGGACCGGGGGGTCCTCAACCAACTAGTGAATTTGTTCTGCGTGCTCAACCAACTAGTGAACCTGTCCCGGCCGGTATGGCGCTGATGCGACCTCGGGTCGCGTCGGCCATCCTGTGGCGTTGAGCCACCGTCCGGCTGAGATTGCGGGAGTGGTTGAAGCATTAATGAGACATGACGAGTTGTTGGGAGGGTCGGCCGAGGCGGGGGGCGACGGACCGCGGACGAGCCGGCCTCGAGCGACACGGAGAATGAGGCCTCACGCGAGGCGGAGATCAGGTTCTTTGCCGAGGCCTCGCGCGAGACGCCTCGCGCGATACGGAGAATGTACCCCTGCCGAGGCCTTCCCTAGATAGCCTCGGGCGAGACGGAGACGGCGCCCCCTGCCAAGGCTCGGCGCCCCCTCACCGAGACCTCACTGTGGGGAGCCTCACAGGCGGAGTTTGTTCTGAGACCCCCGCCGAGGCTCGAGGCGAGGTGGAGGAGGGCTCGGTCGTGGGTGTGAGGGGCCCACGGCTTACCTTCTAGCTTTATTTTGATGTTTGCTTAGGGTACCCGTTCTAAGGTACCCGACAAGTGGCCCCAGAGCCTCGGGGTGAGTCGTGCACTCTCCACGAGGGTTCGTCGAGGCTGGGTTTATGCCTGCCTCCGTTGAATTGGTTTGTTTTCGAGGTTCCGATGGGTGCGTGGCCTCTCCAGCCGGGTGTAGCCCCCCGAGCTCCCAAGGAGTGAAGTTACTCCTCCAGGGGCTTTCTCCACTTTCGCGTTTGAGTGAAGGACTGTCGGGTACCTTATTGCATTTGCCGAGCCCATAAGCGCAAGTTCGGGTTGCGGGGGTCTCGGCGAGGTTGCAAAAAGAGGCCCTCTAGCCTCCGCATGGAGCGAGAGGTTCGTCAGGGGTCCCCTGATGTTGGGTATGTCCCTCACGCTTCCTTTCGCTCGGAAGGAGGGGTGGAATATGCCATGCTACCCTCGATGGGCGCGAGCGTGGACACTTTCGGTGAGCTGTTATCGGGTAGTCTGAGTGGAGGCCCAAGCCCCGTTCGCTAGGGGACGGCTAGCGGTCCAGAGACACACTCCAAAAGTACTGGAGGATTTCTCTAGTGGGTGCCGAGGCCGTTCGCTAGGCCTTGGTGGCTCGGTGCCTCCCTATGGTGGGATCCCATTCGGATACTTTCCTATCGGTCTCGGACACGACTTAGGACGCCCCGAGCGACTGCTCGTTCGGGCCTGGGCCATTCGTAGGCTCGCCCCGAAGTCGTCCCTGACTCTGTTGCCACAGGGGCCGTTGTGAAACCTCTTGGAGGCCCACCTTGAACCTCTGGACCGTAACGGGCTCGGTGCCCTTTATCGTGTTTTTGTCTTGGTTTTTGGGTGCAAGAGGAGCCCCAGAGCCTCCTTTGGAGCAAGAGGACGGTCGGGGTCTCCTGGCTTTTCATTCGCCCCTCACATATCCTTTTTGTTCGGACGGAGGTTTGCTTTTGCAGAGCCCATTCTGGTCTCTTGCAAGATCACGGAAGAGCCCCTAGCCTCTGCTTGCAGAGCGAGAGGGCCGTCTGGAGTTCCCCGACTTTTTATACGCCCCTCGCGTGTGAGGTTTGTTTGCCGAGCCCATTCTGGTCTCGGCAAGGTCGCAGAAGAGCCCCTAGCCTCTGCTTGAGCGAGAGGGCCGTCGGGAGTTCCCGACTTTTTATACGCCCCTCATGCGTGAGGTTTGTTTGCCGAGGCCCCTTTGGGCGCGAGCCCGGTCGTGGGGTCTCGGCATATTTGCAGGAGGAGGCCCCTAGCCTCTGCATAGAGGCGAGAAGGACGTCGGGGTTCCCCGACTTTTATCACGACCCTCGCGCTTCCTTTTCGCTCGGAAGGAGGGGTGGAACGTGCCTCGCTACCCTCGATGGGCACGAGCGGTGGCACTTCCGGTGAGTCACATCGGGTGGTCCGAGTGGAGGCCCGAACCCCGTTCGCTAGGGGACGGCTAGCGGTCGAGACACACCCAAGAGTACCAGAGATTTCTCTAGTGGGTGCCGAGGCCGTTCGTTGGGCCTCGGTGGCTCGGTGCCTCCCTACGGTGGGATCCCATTCGGATACTTTCTCCTCCATCTCGGACACGACTTTGGGCGTGCCAAGCATTTCGGCTCGCTTGGGTCTCGGCCCGAATAGGCTCGCCCATGATCGCCCCGACTCTGTTATCCTGGGGCAAATTGCCGAAACCCTTTTGGGGTCCACCTTGAACCCCTCGGATCGTAATAGGCTCAGAGCCGGTTCCTTCCTATGAAAGGAACAGGCCGCTGGAAATATTTTCCCTATTGGCTCGGCCATGAGTGGCGCGCCTTTTGAGGCAGTTTTATTGGGAGTCGAAACGGTACCTGCTGCCGTAGTGGCCGAGCGTGGCGTGGTGGATGGGGCGTAACCGTCCTCGCATTTAATCTCGGGAGGCGTGGCGCGTGGGCGGTGAAATCGGCTCGTGGTTAACCGCGCCAGATTGGGGGGAAATCTCCCCGATTTCATCGCCCACTCATTTCGCCTCCTCCCTGCATAAATACCCGGGGAGTTTTGCCCCTCCTCGTCTTACCTTGCCTGCATCAGCGCCGCCCCCGCTGAGCCGTCGCTAGAGCAGCGAGTGCCGAGAAGGAGAGGAGGAAGAGCGAGCCTAGGGAGGAAGCGAGAAAAAGGTGAGAGCGTGGGAGGGAGAGAAAAGACTCACTGCTGCACCTGATTCCCCCAGCGCACCCAAGGCCGGTGATATCGTTGTCGTCGAGGCGGACCCCTGGGATCCGTCGGACGTCACCGAGGAGATGCTCCAGTCGCTTGTCGACGGTGGGCTCCTTCACCCGGTGACTGACTCCACCAGGCCGGAATGGATTGCTCCGTACGGTGAGCCGGAGCCGAGGCCTCACGACGGCTATGTCGTAAGCTTCATCTCCTTCCACGAGCGTGGCCTCAGCGTCCCGGCGGACCGGTTCATGCGGGCGCTTACGCACTACTACGGCGTGGAGCTCCACAATTTTAATCCCAACTCTGTTGCTCAGGCGGCTATCTTTGTTGCCGTCTGCGAGGGGTATTTAGGGATCGCGCCCCATTGGGAGTTGTGGCTCTATCTGTTCCGGGCGGGGCATACTACAAAGCCGTCGGGCACGTCGGGGAAGAGGAAGGCGACGAGGGCCGGATGCTGCACTCTCCAAGTGCGTCAGGACCGCCTGCACCTCTACATCCCGGCCCAACTCGCGTCCTCCAACCGCCGGTGGTACACAAGTTGGTTTTATCTCCGTAACGACGACGGAGGGCTTCCCCCCTACACCGGGCGGATTGTGGGGAGTTGCCCGGAGAAGTGGAAGTGGGGCGTCCCGAAGGTCGACCAGCCCAAGCTGGAGCCGCTCCTGGAGGGGCTGGCGAGGCTACGGGGCCACGGCCTCACCATGGGCCGTGGTTGTGGCGCGTTCCACCGCCGGAGGGTCTTGCCGCTGATGGCTCGGCGGGCGGCGATTATTCGAGATGAGGCCGGTGAGCCCATTGAGGGCACCGGATGTCCTCTTCCGCCCTTTCCGAGGAGGAGATTCTTCGTCGGGGGGGGAGACGGTAGAGGCAAAGGTGAGGGCGGCAACTTGACCCCTATCGCGATCTGGCCGTCCACGGGGTTCCTCTCATTTGGTAAGTCGTCTGCGCCATGTAGCCTCTGACGCTCCTTAGTCTCCTCCTACCCCTTGTTCCCTTATGTGTGTTTGTCATTCCTTTAGGGGATGAGGGACGTGCACTCCTCTCCACCGCCCGTTCTCGAGGACGCGGAGCGGCGGGCGGTCAACCGTGCTCACGCCGATGCGCAGAAGAGGCGAAAGGACGCCAAGGCGGCGAAGCGCACGAAGCACATCCTCGCACGCGAGGAGCTGGATAAGCGCCGCCGTCAACAACGGAAGGATGGTCTTCCGCTGGAGGAATCCCCGTCGACGTCGTTGTCGTCGGAGGCCTCGGACGGGGACGACAAGGTCGAGGGAGGGCGAGGTCCCCCGGACCACCTTCCCGATGTCGTGGAGGTGGCGCCGGGGTGTCGGTAAGCATCCGGCACCCGGAAAGGGAGGAGAAGCGGACCGGGGCGGCGGTTGCCCGCTCGGGGGCCGAGGCCGACACGCCCGAGGCGTGGGCGTTAAACAACAACGCCGTCGGCCCGGTAAGAGCGGGTGGTGGAAGCGGGTGGCGGCGAGGCGACGCCGCCGCCCCGCAGAGGATCGAGGCGCCGCCAGGTCTCACTGAAGACCGTCCGGCGTCGATGGATACGGGAGGCGCCTCTGCCGCCGCCTCACTCCCGCTGGTGAAGGTTTGCCGTGGCGAAGCGAGGCCGCCCGATCAAGGCAAGTGTATTCTTAGCAGGGTCGTGGTGTTTTTCGATTCGCTTTTTTAGTTTTTATTGCGC